CATTATCACTATCATCAGCATCAGCATCATCATTAACATGATTTTATTACTGTTATTATCATTACTGTTATTATGATAATAATGATTATCATTATGATCGTTATTATTATTATTATTACTAATAGTAGTAGTAGCATCATTTTTATCATTCTAATCATAAACATTACCATTACCATTATCATTATTATCATAATCATCGCCATACTTATTATTAACGGTAACATCAACATTAACATCAATATCATTATCAACTATCATCCTCAACATCATCATCATCATTCTTAGAGACACGAAAACCCACAACAAAGCCCAGTTTAGCGTGTCTCAAAGGCCATACTGGCCAAGCCTGCACGAGAAGCCTGCAAAGTCTACACTGGAGAAGCAGCGTTGAGTCCGCAGTCCGGGAAGCAAACTCCCTTTGGTAGAAGCGACTTTCTCATTCGCGGCAATTTCACAGCGGCCTTTTGGTTGGCCTTGCGTCCGTCCGTCTCGTTGCTCGATCGAATGCTGCCAAGGGAGATTGCCTCTGGCCGTGATCATTTGTTTCGCATAATATGTGTTGCAGGTGTTTGTCTTTTGATCCGGGCTGCAGTCACCTCAGCGTCCTGTGTACCGTTTTCATTTATTTACATGATCATTTTCTCCTCATTGTTATAATCAATAACCAATATCATTGCTATTCTCATGGTTAACATTGTTATTATGATCATCACTATTGTTTTTATAATTTGTGTTTATCATCAGTAATATCATTATTGCTTTTATCATTGACGTTTTAATTATCAATATAATTGTTATCACTATTCTTTTATTACCATCAACATTATTATCGTCGCTGGTATTCATCATCATGATACACATTATCATCATGATGAATACCACTTTCATCAGCATCATCATTACTCACTCCTGCTATATTTACAATCGACGACAGTCACCAGACGTTTTTCATTATCCAATATCCAGGACCATATCTAATAGGCCTAAGCAGAACACATATCAACATAAAAACATCATATAATAACATCAGCATCACCATTTGAAAATGAAAACAGGGAAAATAAACAACCCTCCAAGCAAGGTATTGCCAATAAAACAAGACCGGTCACTTACCGTTAACCCCCAGCCATTGCTTGATGTGGAAGTTCTCCTTGGCCGACTCTATGCACGCGAGAGACACGCCCTTCCCGAACGAGTGGCAGAACTCCGAGGCGCGGTACCAGTTCAGGGGGAAGTACCCGTAGAAGTAGCACTTACCCCCGATCTCGTGGAAGGCCATCGGGCAACTGCGGCCCGCCTTGTTCCATAGTCCTGCGGGGCGAGAGGCAGGGTTAGAGGGTAGAACACCGGGTCTTATTGTATGCTGTTGAGTCCGTGTGTGGAGCTGGGTCTGAAGGTCTGTTGTTTTTTTATGTCTTTGTCGCAGTGTACGGTGTGCTGGTAAAATGTATGGCAGGAAACCGATTTATTGGAGTAGGTCTGTTAGTATGATTTTTGCTGTGTATGGTGTATACTATGCTGGTAAATGTATGGTGACTCCCTGGTTCGTTTGAATGCGGTTGCTGCGAATTGCTTTTCAGTGCCATGGCCGGGTGCCAGATGTGCCTGATTCTACGGCCTCGTGGTATGCGTGAAATTACCCAATGTCAGTGTGTCAGGCGTGCAAGTCTCCTGCCGGGTGACAGCTGAACCGTAGTGACCGTTGCAAGGGCAAGGTTCTACCACTGGAACGTGAACAAACACTCATTTTATATGCAATCTTTACCGGCGTTGGATTTTGTGAGCACAAATATTTGCAGGTCAGTTCACATGTTTGAAACAACTGTTCATTTTCCACGTAAGGTGCGTGAATAAATGATAATAATAACAACAGCAACAACAATAATAATAAATGAAAAAATATATACATACACACACACACACACACACATACACACACACACACACACACACACCACACACACAACACACACACACACACACACACACACACAACACACACACACACACACACACATATATATATATATATTATATATATATATATATATATATATATATATATATATGTGTGTGTTTTACAGACATATCTATACCATCTATCTATCTATCTATCTATATCTATATCTATATATATCATACAAACACATACACTTATAGATAGACTAATAAATAAATAAGTACCGACACAGAAAACAAATCCCCGAGAATCTTCAACGTGCGTCAGTGCGATCGAAGAGACAAACAAGATGGAGATGCTGACAGAGGCGTTGGCCAAGACCACGCTGGCTGAGCATCCGGGCGGAGTCGCGCCTGCTGGCTGGGGTTCGTCTGCGCGAGTTGCGAGAAGGACAGCCGCACGAATGGATTCTTGAAGACGCGAAACTTAGTCCTTCTGCATAGGTTCTGGCACCTCCAAACACTCCTGTTGACTGAGATCCGGCTCCTGCTGCCAGACCAATCCGTCTACTGACTTCCTGGTCTGACAGCCCAGAGACAT